TACATATTGTAAAATTATCTGATTAATTGGTTTCCGGATTGAAATTTTATAACAGAGGAGGGAATAGTTTAGACCATTTATAAATGTCAATCATCAAAATATAAGCCTTATACACTTTTTGATTATCTATATTCATTTATATAACAATAATTTTCTGTCTAAGGAGAACTAATATTAGTAAAAAATTTTCTTTTTAGCACGTATGAATATTTAATTATTTTCAATAAATAATATTTTATTAAAATCAACTTTGAGAATCAAATATTAAGAATTGAGATTCTTTATTATAAACAAAAACAAAAGATTTTATTTACAAGAGTGAATAAGTAAAATTAACTGATTGTATTTCTTAAATTTTGTGGCAAATCGTCAGCATATTTTTTTAAGAGTAAATAAAGAGAAATAAAGAGAATTATGTCTACTCTGTCTGTTTCTCTCCTGATGGAAATACATTAGCTTCTGGTAGTTGGGATAACTCTATCCATGTATGGGATGTCAAAACAGGATAATAAAAACCAAATTAGATGGTCATGAGCATTGGGTAATGTCAGTCTGTTTCTCTCCTGATGGAAATACATTAGCTTCTGATAGTGTAGATAACTCTATCCGTCTATGAGAAATCAAAAACAAGTATTATTCAGATTATAGATTTAAAGAAATTTAGGTTAAAAATACAAGATATCCTTTTTTTAACATCCCTTTGCAGTAAAAGAATATTATTTAAAATTTAGATACATCTAATATAATGGTTTACCCAGACTTAAATTTTGTATAGATTTGAGAGAGTTTTTTATAAAAAACCGTTTCCTTTTAGGAGAATTATTGGAGTAACACTTGATTAATTTAAAAACTAACCTATATTAACCCTTAATTTAAATCTATTTTAATATACTTCTTGTGTCCAATATTTGTTGATAGAGTTCTATTTTATAGTTTTTTTCTTTTTTAACAATCTTGAAGCATTACTAAAATGGAAATTAATTTAGCACATTTAAAAATTACAATAATAATTATTAGTTGCATGAATGCAATAATATCTTAATTCTTTGTATACTGTTTTTTTGGTATTATTCTTATCATAACCAAGCATTTTCTATCAATTTATATTTCGAATGTGAATTGTATAAGATTTATAAAGTATATTCTACAACTAAATCTTTCAGCATTTATCATTTCTAAGTTTTCTAATCTTCTTATTTCTTGAGAGTGAATATATCTTATTCACAAAATAATATATTCTCAACTCATATTTAATTAACAGTAATAC